AACATACCTGTAATCCCAGCAGCTTGGGAGGCTGAGGCAGGAGGATCACAAGTACAAAGCCAGCCTCAGCAGCTTAACCAGGCACTTAGCCATCAGCAAAACCGTGTCTCTAAATCAAATATTAAAAAGAGCTGTAGATGTGGCTCAGTGGTTAAACACCCCAGGTTCAATCCACACCACCAAAAAAAAAAAGAGAGATAGAGAAAAAGATACTTTCACATACATTTTATTACAATATATTGCTTCATTCTATTTTATTAGTTGTTATAAGTAATCCCTTACTATGCCTAATTTGTAAATTAAACTTTTTCATAGGTATACAGAAAAAAGAAAGAAAGCGTTTTTAGGGGTTTGTACTGTCTGTACAAAACTGTAGTTTTAAGCATCTACCAGGGGTCTTGAAACATCCTCCATGGGTGAAAGAGAACTACTGCACTTGAGACACCACCTTTGCTCTTTCTGAGGTCTTAACAAATGTTTTTGCAGTTACACCCTTGATCTCATCTCTAACAGTCCTCTCAATTTAACTCCCTCCTTTTGCATTTTACTATAAGTTTCAAGAAATAATCAAGTGACTCCTTCAACACTATGTGGAAACCTCCTTAGCTATCTTACCCATCTTCTTTTTTTACCCATCCACCTCCTATTCCCTCTCCATCTGCTGCCTGACTTAGCCAACACAATATCCAACACATATTAGTTAAAGCAGTTGTCACTGTTACATTATTATTACATCATGGAAATATTGTTTAATGCTGATTTTAAAAAAGAAGCTATAATCATCTCTCTTATGCAATTATTTATTTTCATGGCACTCATTTCTCATTTCTTTATTTGCCTGACTTGGTGTTTTCCTATTGTTAATTGACTCCTTATGTTCCACCATCTCTTCCACATGCCTATGAATAATATTTTCCATAACCCAAATAGATCAGTCATTTTTTCCACTCTAAATTGGCTATTATCTAGGCCCATCAAGCAATTGAGACCACTTAATTATTTTCTAGGATGCCATTTCAATACTCTCTGGGGTTGGACACCCTTTTTGGTAAATCCCATCTTTTTTTGTATTGGTTTAGCCTTTTTATTTTTCTGGAATAAAGCCTTTGATATCTGTGAGTGGGAAGTAAAATTTTTGAGACCTTATTTTTCTGAAAATGTCTCTATCTTACTCTTATGCTTGATTAATAGTTTGGCTGGGTATAAAAGCTTTTAATTTACAAATAATCTTTACCACAATTTTGAAAGCATCATTCCATTGAGCTCTAGCATCTATTCATACAGTTGAAAGGTCTTAACATCATTATTATTTTTCCTGATCCTTTGTATTTTGTATATTATTTTTGTTTTGGGAAATTTTTTGAGTCTATTTTTATCTATGATTTTCTTAAATTTTACGTTGATGCTCTTCATGTGAAATACTTTCTTATTCATTTACTGCATATTTAATGGGATTTGAATAGATTTCAAAATGGGATTTCAATAGAATTTCTAGATAGTTTCTTTCAGTTATGGAAAGTTTTAAATAAGTTTTAGTGTTTACATGTTCTCTGATTTTTTATGGCATCTTGTTCTTATTTCATGATTGCAAAATATTCTGTCTCTGGGAATAGCAATTGTAATTGTTTTGAAGTGTCCCATTGTACCATTCATCTTTCCTCCAGGTTGTTTTGTCCTTTGGTTGTTTGCTCTCATTTTGGAAACTTTCCATAGATGACTAATGAACTTTAGTGGTCTATTCATATTGCACAGAGAGTCATTAAATACTTGGTGAGAAGTTTTTGTACATGACTAGGGTTTGTTGATTATTGTACTCCATGATAGTGTGATAGAATGAAAAGCTGCATTTTTACTGTAGGAGCCCAAATGTGACTTTCTTGTATCATTTTTCTGAGGCTATTCCATTTTTCCAGAAAAGAATTAAGTAGTGTTCTGCCTGAAGTACATAAACATGGAACAGATTCAGGAAATGGAGGTAAACCTCAACTTCTGTCCTCTTTTCCCTTGTGCCAAACTTCTTGGACCCCTTCATCTCTCCGGAGAATAAAACTCCAGTGTACTTCCAGGAAGGACTAGGTGAAAGGCAGCAGTAATGGGATGGTTGCTTGGCTGCCAGAGTAGGAGGTACAGCCTAGTAGGAGATTGGGGGATGGAGGTTGCAAAATATTCTCAATATCCACTTTCAACAAGTCCCTTTCTTTTCTAATCTTCACTCTCAATAGTTCCTGGCATCCAAAGTACTGGATTTTTTCACAGTTAGCTTCTACCTCTTGAGAAGCCCCAGTGCAAACTTTCTCTCTCTACTAAGTACCTCCACCAACTCTAACCACTTTCCATTTTCCAAAATGTTTAAATCTCTCCACTACTGCTTCCTTTCTCCTGGTTTCTTGGTTCTTATAAATTTATGCCTTTTTAGTGCCCTTTATTTATTTATTGTTCAGTGGCATTTGGAGGTGGCTTCTTCATGTTAAACCAAGAGAGTCATTCTTAAAGGATATACCTTTTTACACATATTTTTTCCAACTGATTTTATTTATTGTATGTATACTGTATCACATACATACATGCCATTTTATTTTTTTAATATTTTTTAGTTGCACTTGGACACAATATTTTATTTATTTTTATGTGGTGCTGAGGATCAAACCCAGTGCCTTACACATGCTAGGTGAGTGCTCTACTGCTTAGCCACAACCCCTGCTCCCCTTTTTTATATTTTAAGGAATTGAGAATATGCTCCAATTGTTTCACTTAGAGGCTGTTGTTGTTGTTGTTTGTTTTTGTTTTGTGTACTAGGGATTAAACTCGGGGGCACTCAACTATGAAGCCACATCCCTAGCCTTATTTTGTATTTTATTTAGAGACACGGTCCCACTGAGTTGCTTAGTGCCTCACAATTGCTGAGGCTGGCTTTAAACTTGGGATCTTCCTGCCTCAGCCTCCTGAGCTGCTGGGATTACACAGGCATGTGCCACCATGCCTGGCAAGGCCATGTTTTTTGTACACTTTGAGGGACATATGATTCTTCAAACTACATATTGACATTGCCATAAAAAAAATGACATTATGTGTCAACTGTCAAAGTCACATCCTATAGGAATTGATTTTATGAAATTGTTAGTGGTTTGGCCTGAGTCTGCCACATCTTCTTCCCCAGTCTCCATAAAGTAAACATCATTAAATGAGTCCATATCTTTACAGCTGAGCTGATTTTTCAAGTTAATTTATGTCATGTTTGAATTAATCATCTTTCTAGCATAATTTCAATGTGCACATTGAACATATTCCTATAGAATATCTCCATATACTAAATAAGAAAACTTAACAAGTTTTTAAATCTGCTTCCCAAAAGCCTTGACACTGGTGAAGAAATATTATATATGCCTTAAGAGATTTGCTAATCATATCCAGGCCTCTGCTGGAAGAGCATGAGCTAAACATTAGCCTGGTCTGTAACTAGACTCTTCTGAACATCTGGCAGCTTCTGTGACATATTGGTGGCCTTGACCCAGTTTCTTGCTAGCATGTACCAACATCAAATTGACATGAATCCACATCCATCCACAATACAGCTTAACTTTCTACATTAAAAAGGCCATGATATCTTTCTTTTCTTTTGCTATGATGCGATTGCTCTTTGCAGGTTTCTCCTTTTAAGTGAGAAGCAGCTAAAATTTCAAGATTCCCATGTTATTTTTTTTTATTTTTTATTTTTTAGTTGTAGATGGACACAATACCCTCATTTATTTTTACTTGGTGCTGAGGATCGAACCCTGTACCTCACACATTCAAGGCACGTGCTCCACCACTGAGCCACAACCCCAGCCCCTCCCAGGTTATTTTAATCTTGAACCTTTTAAATCTGCTTCTTTACCAACTGAAACAGTCTAGAAACTTCTGGTCCTTGGCCTAATGTCTTGAAGAAATTATATAGTATTATATCTCTCTGTCTGATTTGAGGCCATAGGCTTTCCTAATCTGCAGGCTGTCTGCAAACATATAATAGAAAGATTCATCTGTGATCATTTTAAACAGAGCCAGTGGAGACAAGATTGCTTTAGTTAGTGGTTTGCCAGCTTAAATAGAATACACTCTAGTTGGAATGGAAACTGAGTTTTCAAGGGAAAACTCAGAATGTTTTATTTACATTTTATACCTTTATTCTTGGCAACCTGTTGGAAAATGTTGCATAGAAGATCCAGCATAGGAAACATTTTATATTCTTGCTTATGATCAATAAATATGGAATCTGAGGCATTCTATTTTATAAATCAAGGTCTTAGTCCAAATTTCCTGTTTTCAATCTCAAAAAAAAAACCTCAGGATAAAAATAGCATTGAGCTGTATAGGGTGCTCAGGGGTCAAGGCAACAGGCAAAATAAATTACTTTATATGCTGTGGTGCTGAGACTGTTATCAGACCATTAGCAGAGACATTAATTTTGTAGTCACTATAAAAAGTATTTGGTACAGCTGGTTTTATGAAACCATAAGTAAATATATCCTACTTTGGATTTTCTGTGCTTATGGAAAAGAGAGAAGGAATTGATAATACAGAATAATGAACCAGTGACTTGAAAATGCAGGCTCATACACAGCCAGTTCATGGAAAACTCCATTCACTCTAGTCAAAGGCTTGTCTTGCCACATCATAATTTTAATCACATCTATTTCTTGCCTATATTTTACAAACTGGCCACTGTCTTCCATCTTTAATGCTCTGCACATATCCAGCACACATATACACTCACTCAGGCATTTTGATATTTGTTCAAAGATTTTCCAGTCTTAAGTCATTCACACTTCCTGACTTTCTCAAATTCTCTCAGCTCTGCTCCTGCATAATAAGCTCCAGTGGGTCTCCCAGCATCTCAGTCTGCAGAATATTACCAAGGTACTCTGAGGAATACATGCAGAGCAGAAAATTCATTGGGATTCATACCATTCATTGACACATCATCATGTGAAGATGAACATCTCCTCATTTGTGTTTCTTTATAGCCTAAAGAATGTTTCTTGATAAAACCAAAGGAAATAAAAGAAGACGCCAAAAAGACCAGAAAGAGGAGAAAGGTAATATTAATAATATCTTGTGGTGATATGTCCCCATGTGGTTTCCATCACATGTTTATGTGTCATACTTTGATGAAATAACTATTATAGTCCCCACTTTAAAAATACAGAGATCATTAAGATCGTTAAGATAGTGAGGTTTGGTGACTTCCCCAAGGTCACTAGTAATGTGTTCCTGTTGGGGCTAAAAATAAATTCTTCTGATTGCTATTTCAATCTGTGGAGCACCAAACATCTTTGTGATCCACCCTGTGTTTTCATTGTGGTTAGGTGTCAGATCTGCATTTCTAACTTAGAAGGAGCCTAGAGCTATTCCCTCCCACACTGCCCTGATCCCTCTGGTTCTGTCCCCAAAACTGACCTTCTTTTCCTTCTTATTCCAGATTTTGAGACCCTATGCCTTAGAATATTAATTTTAAAAATAAACAAATGAAGGTAGCATAAGGCATTTCTGACTCAAATTTGGAACCATAATTTAAGGCAAAAGTTCCCCTTCCATTTTAATATTTGCCTCTGAACATAAAAAAGACTTTATTGCTCCTATACAACTTTTTTATGGCTTAGCCTTTAAGAAAATATGGTTGGATTTCACCTTTCCATCACAGTTGTGAAAACAGCAGTGTAATTCTCTCCCTGCCAAGAAGGGTCTACTGCTGTAGTCAGCAGAGGAAATATGATTGGGATTAGAGGAAAGAAGATGAACTCAAACCAGTTACTTAACAGCAAGCTTTTAGAAAACTGAGAGTGTGCATGCATGTTTTTCTTTTCTTACAAATGGCCAAATAGGAAGACAGGAGGTGCCAAATTGGCTGAGGTTTGGCAAGTCCTTAAAGAAGTGACTTTAACTTCTTTTTGATAATTTGTACACTAATGGCCTTGAGGAGTGTTAAGTTCTGTGGCTCAAGGTCAGAACTCTAGCTGGATATTTTAGCCTTGGCTGAGGTCATGCTAAAATATGCCCACTGATGACATATTTTTAAATGTTAATTCCTTTGACAGAACCTTGATCATTCTTGACAGTGGGTAGAAATGAGGATATTAGGGAAGGAAGGAAAGGAACTGGAGTGGGGGGTGGGGAATGGCTCCTTCTGGATCTTTGGTGAAACATTAGAAGGAAGAGAGAAGGAAAGGTTATGATGAAAATGAAATAAACAGTTGTGTGTTCCCAGTACACTGCAGACATTGAATAGAATTGCTGCACAAGTACACAAATGAATCCAAATCAAAATAGATGTGGGAAAGCATTTCCTGTTAGAGTATCACTTCTCCTTTCCATAGGACCACTTGAAGATTGTCAGTTTCCCGGGACTTAAAACTCAGGGGTGTAAAGTCCTCTTTTCAGTAGGCTGCTATGCTCAGATTACTCCCGCAGGTTTAGCTCTAATGCCAGAAATCCAAACTGAGACTTCGCACCTCAAAAATCAGGTTAGGCAAGAAATTCTCAAAATTCTACTCTTCCAAGGATAGATATCTTTTAAGGGTAAATGAGAGGTTTCCATACCAACAAAATCTCTTGACTTTTAACAGAAAAGACCCTATTGTAGAATCTCATGCAGAAATTTCAGTTCTCATAGAAATCATAGACCAAGAGGCACAAGAAGCCTTTCAGATCACCTCTTCATTTTTTCAAAATAATAGTTATGTCCAGGAAGTATTCAGGAAATTTTCTTAAGTGTATTTATTAGAGCTTACATTCACACTCAGCTATCACCAAAAGGTGTGTGCAGTTTCAATGCCAGAGGAACAAGCCTAAGCCAAATATCATTCTGAAATCTTTATATTTTGTTTTTCCTTTCATATATTAGAAGAAAATTACTGATGTTCTTGCAAAATCAGAGCCCAAACCAGGGACACCAGAAGACCTACAGAAGCTAATGAAGGACTATTATAGCAGCCATCGCTCAGTGATTGAACTAGAAGAACTCAACCTACCAGGTACAGCCAAGCTTCTGTTTTCCTAAGGATGAAGAGCAGAACATGCTTATTGTTTCTTTACTATACATTATGGTTAGCAATCTCAGGCAATGAAGTAATATATTTTCCATTTGCTAATTCCTTCTTCCTCAATCTAATAGATTTTTTGTTTGTTTTGTTGTTGGGGGTTTTTGTCTATTTGGTTGGTTTTGGGTTTGGGGTTGGGTTTTTTTTGGGGGGGTACCTGGGATTGAACTTGGGGGCACTCAACCACTGAGCCACATATCCAGCCCTATTTTGTATTTTATTTAGAGACAGGGTTTCACTGATATACTTAGCATCTTGCTTTTGCTAAGGCTGGCTAGTGATCCTCCTGCCTCAACCTCCTGAGCTGCTGGGATTACAGGTGTGCACCACCATGCCCAGATTAAAACCAGGACATTCACAAGCACTCAACTACATTGCAAAACCTTTTTGTTGTTTTGTTGTTGTTGTTGTGGCTGTTTTTGTTTTTTGTTTGTTTGTTTGTTTGTTTGTTTGCAACAAAATCTCACTAACTTGCCCAAGCTGGCCTTGAATTTACAGTCCTCCTTCAGCCTTCCCAGTAGCTGGGATCATAGGCATGCACCACCATGCCTGGCTCAATCTAACAATTTTAACTCCTGAACATTTCTTTATTAAGATGCTAAGCAATATTTGTTGAATCTAAAACTAAAATTTTTTTTGTTGCTTTTTTTTTCTTTTTTTTACTCAAAAGACTAATTGTTGGGTCTTTTTTAGCACACTCTTTAAGGAATAAGAGACCTTAATGAGGATAAAAGTTAAATTAAGATAAAGCATACATTTAAAAGTATAGATATGAAACTTTGGTTTACTTCTCCTTTATAAGAACTTTAGCCTTAATGAATATCTTAATTTTTAAATTTTGTTTATCTGGATTTCCTAATCATGGTTTTGTTTTTGAGAGTCGTATTTTAGACTCGGCATGGTGGCTCATGCCTATAATTCCAGCAACTCAGGAGGCTGAGACAGGAGGATCACAAGTTCAAGGCCAGCTTAGCAACTTGGTGATACCTGGGCCAAAATAAAAACTAAAATGGACTGGGATGGAATTCAGTTATAGAGCATTCCTGGGTTTAATCCCAAGTACACACACAAAAAAAGAGTAGTATTTCAAGTAGTTTTCCAGATTTTTTCAAGCAAACTGTCTAAATGACGTAACCAAATTCTGAATTTTTAGTAAGGTTAACATCTCTTCCAGATGATTCTTAAGTCTGCCATATTTTGAGATCTACTGCTATTGAGTATTTATAATTAAAATGTATGTTTAGTTATTGAAATAACTGATTTCAAAATTATGTTACATTCAACACTTTTGCACAAGCCTGGCAGAAAATAGATGTTGTCATAAAAGCAAACCATAGAAAGTTTGAGTACCTCTGTTCAGATGAGTTATTTATAGACTATGAGGAATAGCTAATACTACTTTTGGAAAAAGCCAAGAGTAGTTTGATTTTCTTTCTCCATTACAACTTTATGCTTTCTAGAAGCTTGAGAAGCTGAAAAACAGTCTGTTCCCTGGATTTTTATAATTATTTTGTGATATGCTTTTTTTGAACTGTATAGGGGTTTGAAGACATGAGTGCCCTGTTTCTTTTCCAAGAAAATTACTCTGAAGGGAATTGAAGGAGTGCATATGCACATGAGCAAGCTTTGGAGTTTGGGGCTTACTGAACCCAGACAGCTCCACTCCAGCTCCTCTGGCATGAGAGCTATGTCCTGACTGCTCTGTCACAGGAACCAAGTGCTACAACAAAATCACCTCTCAAGCTTTCGCTAAAATTTTATTTTTATGTGACTCACACTAGTCAGTTTTCCCTGCTAGTTCTTCATTAGTACATACTTTTAAAACTCAGGAAAGATTCATGAGTTAATGGGACTGCTGCTATTTTGTAACCTTATAGAATATCATAAACCTCGATTCTCTCTAGAATTAAGAGCTAAAGATCAGAAAAAAATGAGTTTGGGTTATATTATTGTTTTATTAGAGTTCAGTAACAAAATTAGACAAGAATGTGGAGTCATGAGTTTATTTACAGAGGAAAAAATATCTTAGAAATATAGCCTAAGAAACAGGCTTTCATTTTCAGTTAAGAAATTAGGCTATTCTGAGACACAGTAAACTAAGGCATCATTGGAAGGTTTAGGAGAAAGGGCCCTGGTCACTGCACAGATGAGTCCAAGGACAGAAAGGAAGTTTATGCTAGGTGAGGGCAGGGAGATGCCATGGGTTATTTGGAACAGGCACAAGGAAGGGCATAAGTATAAGGTGGATATAAATAATAAATATTGTTCCTACTCAGTTTGTCATGTATCTAACTTGGTTTTAATTTGAGGTTGTTTGTGTCTGCAGGGCGGGAACATGTCTTTTCAATTAGTCTTGTGCACTGTGCATTGTTAATATCACACACATGGCACTTAATTAGGGTTTTGAGGCCAGAATTTCTAGGAGCTAATTAGCTCTGCTGTTGCCTGAGAGCTGCAGTGTAGTTTACATCCATGATCCTAAATGCCTAAAGGCTAGCTGCAACTGAATCTCCAAGGAACTTTTTAAAATGCAGCCCAAGCCCACTCTCAAGGAATTTTGAGACACTGTACCAAGGAAAGTCCATCCCAGGAATCTATATCTTTTGTAAAGCTCCCCAAGTGAGTCTCATTGTATCCAAGCTTAGAAAAATACAGTGGCAATGGCAGTGGCAGAAACCAACAAAGGCTCTAGAACATATAATAGGCAACATCTTTGAAGTTAGTTACTCATGTACTGTGAGTTATATACGCTGGTGTCACAATACAAATTTAGAAGTATTTTGCTTCCTAACACTTGCTATATTTACAGAGAAACTTTTTTATAGAATCAGGTTTTTAACTGTTTTAGTCAGCTTTTTCACTGCTGGTACTAAAAGACTCAACGAGAACAATCTTAGAGGAGAAACAGTTTATTTGGGGGCTCATGGTTTCAGACTTCTCAATCCATAGAGAGCAGGCTCCATTCCTTGGGGCTCAGATGAGGATGAACATCATGGTAGAAGAGTGTGGCAGAGGAATGCAGCTCACACAATGATCAGGAAACAGAAAAAGACACTCCACTTGCCAGACACAAATGTCTATCCCAAAGCCATGCATTGTCTTGCATGACCTTTTGGGGGACATCTCACATCCAAACCATAACAATAAGCATAATGTTGCTTTTTTATGCATCTCATGAAAACAGTTAAAAGTATTACATAATTGATAGCCCATGACAGCCATTGGTCAACAAGGGCTCTGTTTTATTTTAATGTATTACATTGTCTTTTATCATGACATTGTATTTTGATGCATTATTTCCATTCTTCCCAAATCCACACTAGATTTCTTTCTTCGTAGACATTCATTCCAATGTTACTATACATTTTAAATATGTATGTATTCTTACAAAATATGTCATGTTGTGTGTATATGTTTAAAATCTTATCTAAATGACTTTGTATTGATCCTCTCTTTGTGTTTTTTTTTTCTTCATTTCACACTTCTCCAGATATGCCTTATGGCTTCATGCACATCTAATTTATCATTTCCAAATGCTACATAGTATTCCAGTGTTTTCATCTACCACATTTGTAGATCCGTTTTTCAAGATATGGACACTATGTTATTCCTGCTTCTCCATATCACAAATATTGCCATGATGAATGTCCCTGTATATGTCCCTTTATAAACCACACAGATTTATTTCCATTATTTAACCAGAAATGAAATCAGGGTATCATAGGGTATATAATCCTCATATTATTAATTTTCAAAACAAGTATACCAGTTTACACTTCCATCCTCCATGGAAACATTCCAATCACCCTGAATTCTCAACAACACTTGGTATTATGCATCTTCTAACATTTGCCATTCTAAATGAGTGTGGTGTCTCATCATTGTATTAATTTGTAGTTCTCTGATCGTTAGTGGGTTTGAGCATCTCTCAAACTTTTTTGGCCATTTCCTTTTGCCTTTGCATATTGCTTATTCTATGAATTTGGAAAACAAAGGTGCTTCATCTCTCTGCTGAATAATACACAAAGTGTCTGTTTCAATACTCTAAGAAATGATGAGCAGCTCCATAGAGGGTTTTTTAAAAGTTTACTTCTGTGCTACTGTTATTTTAAATATTAAAGGATGCTTTAAAATATATAGTGATTCTACAATTCACTGATGTTTTATAACTTGTTCAAATATATATCATTCATACTTAATCTCTTGTGGTTGTGTGTTTGCAAAATTCTCTACAAAGCTTGTTCATCATATTTCTAGATTCCTGTTTCCTCAAAGCCAATGATTTGACTCACAGTCTTTCGTCATACCTAAAAGAAAGTAAGTTACCTTTGGTCTTTAAAAAAATTATTAACCTGGGGCTGGGGTTGTAGCTCAGTGGTAGAGTGCTTGCCTAGCATGTATGAGGCACTGGGTTCAGTTCTCAGTACCATATATAAACAAATAAATAAATAAAGGTCCACATTAGAAATATTGGTCTAGGAACCAAAGAACAGTGTTCTATTCCCATGTCCTCAGTAACTTGCTATTTGACCAGGGACAAGTCATTGAGAACTCCCTGAACTTGATTTTGTTACCTGAAAGATAAGGAAATTGGACTGTGTGAATGCTATACCAGCTGTGAGATCCTGAAAGTCTGTTCACGTGTTGAGAATTCAGACCATAGCAGTTACAAAGTCAATCTGTTTTAATCATTTCAGTATTGTTGGGCATAGCCATGGATTATTCATATCAAGTTGTCATTTATGTATGGCCACCAATGAACTAGTTTAGGTACAGAGATTTAACATTTTTCTTTTAAATTGTAAGCAATTCTGATGAAAAAACTTTTCTCAGCAACAAATTCAGCAATGTAAATCTAGATAATAATATATTCAAACTCACTGCTTTATAAGAACTAAAAAAAAAAAGAAAAAACATACAAAATGCTTAGCACAATGTTTAAGGAATGTTGACTGTTATTTAAATGTCAGTTCTATTTTATGTCTTACACTGGGCACCTCTTTAAACCTAACATTATTGGGCCAGAATTCTCCTGTTTAATCAATGTTGTTTTCAATTATCAATCATAAAATATTGAAAATTTGTTAGTCTAAACTTTTTTTACTTAGTTTTAAAACTAATCACATTTAGGTGCTTGGCATATTATATGTTTTGTGTTGTAAATTAATGACATGTCATTTTGATCTAATATCTAGAATAATCAGAAAATAGAATTATAATTATTAGTGTACATTATATTTCATTTTGCTTAAACACTAATAAGAGGTAATTGGAGAATATGCAAATTTGGGGTCTCTAATTTACTATATTCAGAATAATTTTACATGCTCTTTTTTTTAGTCTGCCCTAAGTGGGTAAAACTTCGGAAAAACCATAGTGAGAAGAAATCTGTACTGATGCTGATCATCTGCAGCTCTGCCATCCGAGCCTTGGAGCTCATCAGGTAGAAGTTTCTCCAACTCTACTTCATAAATGCTTTCTGATTAACTGATAGATGCCAACCTGATACGCTCTGTGTGCTGGACTTAAAGTAGTAATAAAACTACTTTCATGAAGTCCTTACCTTCATGAAATTTACATTCCAGTGGGGGAGAGAGACAATAAACAAATAAGTAGACATCATAATGTCAGGTATATTAATAAGTTATATAAAGAAAAAGCAAAGTTTAGCAAAGGGATAGAAGTGAATGGGGACTCTGTAAAAGATTGGTCATGGAAAACTTCTAAGGAGATGACATTTTAGCAAAGGTTTGAATGGAGTAAAGGAAAAAGCCAAGCACTTAGCTGAGAGGAGTATTCCAGGTAGAAGAGACATTATCCACAAAAGACCCTGAGGTAGGATGCCACTGGAGGATTCTGAGCAGAGTATTCCAGTGATCTGAGTTGTCATTTTAAAGGATCACTTTACTTTAGCTGCTGTGTGGGGATATAGTGTATAGAAGCATGAGATTATACCAGCAACATCCAGTTAGAAGGAAAATTAGAAGGGATCTGGACTCAAAATAATAAGAGAAGATAGAATCAAAGGAATAAACTTACCAAAATCTACATAAAGAAAATATCAAATACAACAAAAGGTCTTGAACAAAGAAAAAGTTACACTGTATACTTGAATAGGAAGACTCAATGTTGTAAAGATGTCTATTTTACTTAGGATAATGTACAAATTTCAGTTTCCCATACAACTTCAGTAGAGTTGTTTTTTAAACTAGATAAACTTGTTCTAAATTCATATAAGAAAGTATGCAACTCAAAATTAGCAAGGAAATTCTGAAAAAAAAGAATACTAAAGAAGATATTATCCCTTTCAATTACAAATGTATATATTACAAAGTCTCAATAATCAAAACATGTCACCTGTATTACAGATCAGAACAGTGGAACAGAATTGAAAGTTCAGAAACAGACAAATGCTTATAGAAATATAATATATAGCTAAGGTGACAAACTAGAAATCAGCAGAGAAAGATGGATTATTTAATAAATTGGTTTGGAACAACTGGCTAGCCATCTGGAAAAGGCAGGCTAGATTCCTATCTTACTTCTTACACCAAGATAAAGCTCAAATGGACCAAAAATTTGAATATAAAAATTATATATTAAAAATAATTTGTCAACGTTTTACTAAGTTCTCTCACATACCTTACTGTATTTTTGTAGAATAAACACAAATGTCTCCACTGGTTAAGTGGTAACATTTAACTTTCAGAGAAGAGTCAACAGAGTAAGACAGGATGCACTAGGAACAGCTCTCTCTGGGAGCCAGGCTCTGAGCCAGGCTTTGACAGGAGACAAAACAAAGGAAAATCCAACTCATGAAGAAAAATGAGCTTGGTCATATGGACAAAGGTGCAAATGTAGGCACTCAGTAGATACTTAGCATCTAGTTTTCTAAATGAACTAATATAATCATGAGTTAGAAAAATAGTTAGTAAACTTTATAGTCCTTTAAACTCTCCTTTCCCCCACCTATGCATACACATAAAATGGTATCATCTACCCACTCAGTGAAGCAAAGTATTCCTTTCAATTCTTTCTGATGCAAACATAATTGATGTTAAACTCTGAATTCTGGGCACCTGTACTTCCTGGTCCTGAGATCACAGCAGTTCACATTGACTTTTTATTGCTTTAAAAACTACCATCTCAGAACTTATTTCAGATTGAAATATTAATGGCAAAGACGTTGACTTAGAGGTGACCTCTTAAAAGCAAGTTGTCAAATTGATTTGAGCTTTTACTGTATATAAATTCTTTTCTAAGGGGCATAAAAGTCCTGTACCAATTCTCACTATTTTTCTGTGTCCCTGATAATACTACGATCCATTTCAAGTTTAAATGAATTGTAAATTTGTTTTTGAGCAGGCTCAACAAGCCCAATTCATAATTCTAACTTTTCTTATGACATCTCTTCTCTTGGGAACCATGAATTATGTTAAACTGCCTTCCTAGTTGACCTTAACATGAAGAAAGTTTATGTGTATGTAAAAACTCACATGCAATAGAACTTGCATAGCACAATTCACTATTTTGCAAACTTTGTGTTCCTCTTGGTCAATGATATTTCTCAAAACATCATAATATATAAAGAACAGCAATATTCCTATGTTGGGTTTATCTCCAAATATCAGTTAAAAGATGGTTCATTTATGCCCACTCAAAACAGAATTTCAGGTGCTATATTTCAAGTGCTCTAGAGAGCCCAGGTTGACAGCACAGCTCCAAGATTTCTTGTGCAATCAAAATTTGTGTGAGAATTACACTGCCAGGAACCTGAAATGTGGAAAGTCTATATTATAAGAGAAGGGCAAATCTATGTGTTTTGGTAATCAAGGAAGACTTAGTAAGGTTAACTTTGTGTATGAAAGTTAGAAGTCACCACAGATATGTGCCTGAATAAAAGGCCACCCCAATTTCTGATTCCTTTCAGGCAGGGCCATTATCGCTCAGGCTGACCTTGAACTCTCAATCCTCCTTCTTCAGCCCAAGAGTAGCTGAGATTATAGGCACCACTATTGAGTCCAGCAGGCCACCCCAATTTCATTGCAAAAGGGTTAACCTGAAAATTCCAGAACTTGGTGGATATATACACATGTGTATGTATGTGCATATATACACACACACATTCTTTGAATACACTTAGTAGTCAACACAGTCCAGAATGAGTGAGTTTTCTTAAACATTAATCTATTTCTTTTCATTAGATCAATGACAGCATTCCGAGGAGACAGCAAAGTTATGAAATTATTTGCAAAACACATAAAGGTAAGCTAACTTTATGGTTCCTGATAAGAAATGTAAGTCACTGCTAAGAGCTACTGCCATATCTCAGCTTTTTTCTTCAAACTCTTCTCCTAATGTCCTTAGTGTTTTCTTTGGTGGCTTGCTTATATGACATGTTTAGCAACCATTCTGGTTTTCTTTGAATTTCATGCCTCTGCATATCCTCCCCCCTCTGCAGTCATTATTCTGTCATATTCCATTCCTATACAGCCACTGAGGCTTGATTCCTGGATTCTTTGAGAGTTTGCCAATTTTCTAGGGAAGTTTTTTCCTTGGCCCTGGAACTTGATCCTAAACACCAGTAACCTCATTTGCGCTTCTCTTTTTAAACTATGAGTTAAAATGCTCTAAATTGGCCTATAATTGCAATTCCTTAATGTTTCTTCTTTTTCTCTCTTCTCTTCCATCTTGGAGCAGGTTCAAGAGCAGGTAAAATTACTGGAGAAGCGTGTGGTGCACCTGGGTGTGGGAACACCAGGAAGAATTAAAGAGCTCATTAAACAAGGTAGGAAAAAGACAATGATACTTTTACCCAAAACTAGGAATTGCCTTATCCCCATGTGAGTTTAGGAAACTGCATTTGAATATAGAGAAACCAGACCTCTAAGTTAATTCCCCAGTGGGAAACTTATCCTGCAGTCTCTGAAGCCAGCCAGTGAGGATAATGTAATGGGGAATGATAAGGTCTGTGATAAACTGAATTGCATTTGCCCACCTAAATCATTCAAATCCTAGTCAGGTTAGTAGATCCAACAGGTTTCATCAACCAGTTTGCAATCTTTGGAATTTGTAGAGCTGGATGTATTGACCATTTGCCTCCCAGCTAATTGATTCCTTAGTTCCCTGAGATTCCCATTCTGGTTGAGGGCTGGTATATAAAACTTTGAGACAAAAAAAAAAAAAATGCAGTTTCTATAGATAAAATAGAGATATTCTGTATTATTCCTATCCAAATGCATTTCTCTTTTAGTCCTTTATTCAGAAAGTATTCCAGACAGCAGCTCCCAGTGAATTTTTTATATGTTGTTGACTTTCTTTAAGCCAATAGCCTGAGAACCTGCTAACCTGTTGATGATCTTTTTACCTATTCTGCCAACCAGACAGACTTAATGATTTCTTTTCATTACTTACTTCTAAGTTACTTACTTAATGTAGCAATAGAACTTTGTTTTATAAGTGTCTGGAGCTATTCCTAGATTATTGTATTTATCTTAAAGTATATGTTCATCAATATAGTAACTGAGTACAGAGATGGGCATTTACTCAGAAACAACCCAAAGACTGGTTTCTCTCTAGATGAAAATCATCCATTGTTAACTAAACCCAACTGTATGCAGAGTTCTATGCAAATGCAAAGAAGAAAGAGACTAAATAGCCTCCAACAAGGAAGGGAAACATACATTTATTGAATTCCTCTTTGTACTTAGTTTAATGCTAGACATCCTTTTGTATGCTATCTCATTCTTGGCTAACACTCTTATTTTTTAATGAGAGAAAACTGAACCTCAGAAGGTTTAAGCAATCCCTGAGGTCGTTCAGTCCAGGCCTCCCTGGTTCCACAGCCTTTTTCCCTGAAGGAACTCATGACCCAGTTCAAGAGCTAAATGTTCACAGAATGAGTTTGACAACATGAGGCAGTCAATGCCAAGAGCCAAATGATCACTAAGTTCTGTAAGATTTGAAATGAGGGAGAGATTATTATAGAGGCCTGACCCTGCAAGGAAGGATCTTTAACTGATCTTGAAATTATGGAGAGGAGCCCACTCAAAAAAGGACAGGCAGATCCACACCGTACACCAAGAGGAGACAGTAAGTAAACAATATAGTGCTGAGATAAAGAGCCCCTAGTAAGGTTTCAGACCTTGGAATTCAAAGCCCAGGTCCAGCAGTTTACCAGCTCTGTGATTTTGGCCAATTAACCTTTTTAAGCCTATTTCTTTATCTGAATGACAGGAATAATAACAATATCTACCTCAGGGATTGTTATGAAAAATGAAGTGCCAATAAAGAGCTCAGCACAGGAGACTATGTGGAGAAAAAGGAACTCCCACTTTTGTATGCTGTCTCATTCAGTGCTCACAGCATCCTGACTAGCTAACACTCTCCTGTGCTGAGCTCTTTATTGGCACTTCATTTTTCATAACAATCCCTAAGGTAGATACTATTATTATTCCTGTCATTAGTGGTTGTACTAATATACAATCCCAAACCACTGCTGGTGGGATTGTAAATTAGTACAACCACTATGGAGATCAGTGTGGAGGATCCTTAAAAGACTAGCCATGGAACCACCATATGACCCAGATATAATACTCCTTGGTATTTACCCTGAAGAATTATAGTCATCCTACTACAGTGATACATGCATGCCCATGTTTATAGCAGCACAATTCACAATAGCCAAACTATGGAACCAGCCCTAGGTATCCATCAACAGATGAATGGATAAAGAAAATATGGTCTATATACACAATGGAGTTTTATTCAGCCTTGAAGAAAAATGAAATTATGTCCTTTGCAAGAAAATGGATGGAACTAGAGACCAAATTCAGAAGGTCAAAGGTAACATGTTTTCTCTCATGTGAAAGCTAGAGAGGAAAAAAGAAATGAGGGAGTAGGGCATAGATCTCATGAAAATCAAAAATCAATAGATGAAAAGGATGCAGGGGTGGGAGTGCTGGGGAGTGATAATTGGTCAACTGATATTTTGTGCATGTATGAATATGTAACATCAAATCCTATCATTATGTACAACTATAATGCACCAATAAAAAATGTGGAAAGAGAAAAATAAAAGAGCTCAGCACAATGATTGTCACACCCTAAGTACTTAAAAAATACTAGTTCATTTCATTAAGGAAACTGACTTTCTTGCTCAGAGACTTTATGAGCTATAGTAGTAGGAGATTCCATTGGAAGAAAAGTCAGATTGTGGAGAGGGAGGACCTTGAACAGTAAACTGAGGAGTTTGAATTTTTATCTTGGGTACCTGGGACAACATTGAAAGCTAAGAAAAAAATGAGATAGCAATCATAGTCCTTCTGTGAGACGTGGATTTGGGACAGATTGACTAGGCATTAGGAGAGGCCAGGGCTAGACACTCATGTTTGTTCCTGCTTGAGCTAAAGATTCACCTACCCTTTTCCTGGAATCCAAGACAGTTTTTGTGTTACCAGATTAACCCTTTTACCCTGCCACCCATGCAACAGGGCCATTTTTCTCTATATTTTGAAATAAGCTGTCCAGACTGTTGAAATTAGATTTCCACAGAGTTGGGAGAAAATGTGAAGGTTAATTCATATGGAAAATCATTTAAGAGCTGTTGATGTTGTATATTAATGAAAATAACTTACTTCTGAATCTGATAAGATATTTAATATTCATTAGCATCAGGTGTTGAGCTGCATGTAAAGAACAGCCACCCTCACACTCTAGAAACTAGAAGTCTAACAAAGCAAGACCAATGGCACATAATGCATTTTAAATAGCTGTTTATGACTTAACAAGATGTTTATGGTGTTAGATATAGAGGAGAGTTTCTAGACATTGAACCATATCCCCTGACAGTGGAATGTGTACAATTAGAGACTGAATTTTGTTGTTATAATTTAATAATGAAGGGGATTTCCTGACTATAAGAGTATATGAAAAATGCAAAAAGGGACAGAGAAGAAAATAAGGCACTATAGAGATTATCTCGTTAGTTATAATGAATGTCTTTCCCTTCAGTCTTTTTTCTACACATTTATGCATTTAGTACTACAGCTTATAACTTTGCAGCCTACTTTTTTCACTTACTATATATTTCATGTCTTTCATGACTAGGTTTAGTTTTTCACTTGTGATATCTCTATAGCATTCTACTGAAAAACTATACTGTTGTGGGTTTTTTTCAGGTTTTTGTTTTGTTTTGAGGATCAAACCCAGTGCCTCACACATGCTAGGCAAGCTTTCCACCACTGAGCCAAAACCTCCCCCCACCCCCGCCCCAGGTCCCATTTCAGTTTTTTTATGACAGGATTTTTGGTTTTATTTTCTAATTTTTTGTGATCATCTTTACAAGTGACTATGTTTAGGTTTCTGTGTTTTCCCTGGGATGTTATGGAAGGAAAACTACTTGTCAAATAGTGTTTTAAAGCTCTTATTACGTAGTGCCCAGTTTTTCTACAGAGGAATTTGCTCTTCCACTGCTTATTTTTAAGAGAAGACTGGCCATCAACCCATTCTTTCCCAGCTTTCCATTTGCATTTTTCTTTTGCAGAGAGAGATTTAAATAAAATGTATTTTTGTTCATTTGTTGGTTTGAGGTTTTTTGTTGGTTTGTTTTCTTGTTGTCATTTTGGTTTTTTTGTGGGGGTTTTGTTATTTGTTTATTTTTGGTTTAGTTTGGTTTGGTTTGGTCCTGGGGTTTGAAACCAGAGGTACTCTTACCACTGAGCTCCATCCCCAGCCCTTTTTATTTTGTTTCTGTGACAAGGTCTAAGGCTAGCCTTGAACTTGTCATTCTCTTGCCTCATCATCCTGAGTCACTGGGATAAGCTAATTGTTGCCACTGTCCCCTGCTAAGCATTTTAATTATGAAAAGCTACTTGAAGCAGAGAGGGAAATGTTGAAGTGGCCTAGGGAAAAGCTTGGGGAAAGTGCTTCAGGCTGAGGAGGTCTTCAGGTACTGTTTGCACATGCAACATGCAATAGCTTGGAGCAGTAGGAAAATCAGACCTGAGGACTGGACAATCCCAGGGGTCTCCTCCAGCCCTCATATTCAATAATTGTCTTCCAGAGAGATAGGAAAAGAGGAGAAGGAGGCCTTGGAGGATTTTTCAGCCTCATCAGAGGATATCTGACTGAATAGAACAATTAATGTGGACTTCCTTTTTTGCCTAAAACAAACTACCCAACCCTGTGTTCCTCCTCCTCCTCCCCACTTACCTCTGAAGTCAAGCAGATTCCAGGGTCCACTGTGCCTAACTGCAGAATACACCTTATCCAGTCCTTTCAGGAAGGAGACTCCACCTTCCAGATTCAACAAACTTAGCTAGAGCAGCTTCTCTGCTTTTTTTCAGGAGCAATAATAAAACCGAAAGGAAAGAAGTCCCAGAGGGCTTTTTTGCTTTCCATCAGGCAAGGACAGCACTTAATGGGCAAAGATTAGTTGCTAGGGGAAAAGACAGCAAATGAAGCGAAAACAACCAGAATAAAAAATCATCTTAATAAGCTTATGTCCAGAGGTTTTTACTACAGCAACTCTTGCTTTCTCTTTCAGGTGGCCTTACTTTGAGCCCCTTAAAGTTTCTGATTTTTGACTGGAACTGGAGAGATCAGAAGATGAGGAGAATGATGGATATTCCTGAGGTACTGTTTAATCAGCAATGGCCTTTAATCCTTTTTTTTTTTTTTTTATGGTAATAAAGTCTTTGACATGGAGAGCCAATACATTCTGGCTTTTGACATGATTTTTATCTTTTAACTCTGAGATAACTACAATTATGGAGGCCACCTCAACTCCTTAGAACTATATCCTTTGTGTTATATGGGAGTCCACTTTGTCTCTTATTAAATGACCAAGGGCCTCTGCCCTAGTAGGACAACGACTGTACTTTGCCTTTGAGATATGGGAAGATCTGAAGGACTTGGCACTTTTCCTATGCCCTTCCTCATACACACAATCATCTTTGCCTATCATTCTTATATGTGCACTTTGGGCCAAGGTGGGAGAATGAGAGACACAAACTTGTACCTTTGCCAGCATCTCCTCAGCCCCAGAAACCAGTAACTTAATGTCTTAATGGATTAGAATTGAATGATTGAATGCCTTTATAAATGAGCTTTAGCTCATTATATATTTATGAAAACAATCCATTAGAATCATAATGTGAAAAATTGATTTTGCCACCCACCATGTTACCATGGGGCCAATTTTTCAATCTAGGGTTTGCATAGTAATAAACATGGCTGCCAGTCACCAACCAGAAATAAATCAGGGCAGTAACTATAGAACAGACTTGGAATTGCTCCTCCAGACATGCTGAATAATTTATCCATAAAACCTTATCCCCAGATTGACAAAACCTGATTTTAATTGATTGGTGAGTTATTATCAACCTCCGATTTGGGATAAAAGACAACTTCTATTCAATTACAACCCACCCCCTATTCTCTCCCCCCAAACACACATAGAATCATACGTTCTGCCTCTGAACAAGGCAGCTTCTAAAAACTAGTTTAACAAATTTTATATTAGACACATGAGACCCTATTTGGTGACTTCAATTATAATATTAAGTCTGAATATCCTACTATTATTTAGTTATAATAATGAGAAATGATATCAAAATTTTTTTGTCATCACAGTTATACTGATTATATTGACATCATTAGCATTTATCCTAAGACAATAAAATCCTATAGTAGAATAGTGCATATAATCTGGGTTATAGAAAGCACACTTTAGAGTCCTTGAACCACATTTATATGGCATTTTATTTTGAATGGGTACAAACAAATGGCATGTTAATGAAACTGATGTGTTCTATAATACCTCTTATTTGTGTGACTATTTCAACTCTGAATCAGGTTGATCAGGACTTGTGCTTCTCTGATACTGGCCATAACAACTGTGTAAATACCCAGAAGTACAGATGTTTAAATGTTTTCACCATCTTTGCTTGATTTTAAACCTTTTTTTTTTTTTTTTTTTTGTTCTTTTCTCTCATTTAGATAAGAAAGGAGGTTTTTGAACTTCTAGAAATGGGAGTACTCAGCCTATGCAAGTCAGAATCCTTGAAGCTGGGCCTTTTCTAACCTTGTCCTAATGAAGAGTTTCACAGTAGAATTTGCATCATACTTAAGGGTGCTTCACATTGCAAGCACTCAGTGGATATCAGCTATTGTTTTATTATGTTAATTAGATCATTGGGAATGTTTGTGGAAATTCTTTGACCAATATGAATTTCCCCTTTTGTCAACTCCCTTGTATAATAAAGAATCGAAAGCTTGTGTGTGATCTTTATTGAACAGATTGAGTTTTTCTCTCTACAACTATCCTTTGCTGTAATATGCAGAAGAAAAGGAAGAGCAGCTGGGTAACCTGAGGCAAGCCCCCTTCCTCTCTAAACCTCAGTATCATCAGCTGTGAAATGGGAATGATATTTTGCAGGATTTCTGTGAGATGGTACACATGGAGCATATCTGTAAACTGTGAAGCATGGTCCCAGCATGAAGGGTGACAGTGGTAGCTAGAAAGAGCCACAAATGGATGTAGCATTTGTAAACATATGAGAGAATATAACTGTGCCTGTCTTATCCATTTACTTTTTTTAAACTTTTTTTGAAATAATTTCAGACATATAGAATAGTTGCAAAAATAATGGAGTTAATTCCTATGTCCCCTTCCCCCAGCTTCTCCCAATGTTAATATCTTGTATAAGTAACTACGATACAGTTGCCAAACTAAGAAATCAACATCAATATGATACAGTTAACTACAACCCAAAAACTTTGTTCAGATTTCACCAGTTTTTCCACTGATATCCTTTTTCTAAGCCAGGATTCCATATTGCATTTAGACCTTACATCTCCTGATGGTGACAGTTTCTCTTTCTTTCCTTCTCTTTCATGCATACTCTTGATGTTTGTCAGACATTTTGCAGAATGTCCCTCAGTTTGGATTTGTCTATTGTTTTCTTATGATTTGATTGAAGTTATGCATTTTTTGGCCAGAACCACAGTAGTGGTATGTGCTTCTCAATGTATCATGTCAGGGGATACATAATGTTAATGTAGCTTTTACCAGTGATGTCATGTCAGCCTTAATCTCCTGATCAAGGTGGTATCTGCCAGTTTTCTCCACAATAAAGTCGCTGTTTTTTCCTTTGTAATTTATCTCTCTCTCTCTCGGGGAACATATTTTGAGGCTTTGCAAATATCTAGTTTTCCTCAAACTTTGCCCACTATTTTTTTAACAACTATTGGTAGTTCTTTTCTGCTACAATTATTACTGTAAGGATTTTTTTTGTTTGTTTCTCTTACTCTCTTAATATATTTTCATTGGAATTCCTCTGTAGGAAAGAACTATTTCTTATTCCCGTTTACTTATTTATTTAATTATTGATATGGGTATTGGCACATGAATATTTATTTTATTCTTTGAATTAAGTGCAGTACTGTTTTTATTTTATTTATCAAATTCTTTTTCTTGGCTTACTCATTTAAATAGTGTTGACTGGTTATCTACTTTGTGCCAAACAGTGTAACAGTTGTCACACTTTGTCTGTTTAACCAACCACTGAAATAGTCCTGAAGGAAGAATGTTACTATTCACATTTTATCAACAGTAAAACTGAATCTCAGAAGGGACATACACTAGTTCAAACAGAAGAATTGGAAGTCAAACCCAGGTCTCCTGTTTCACTTCAAGACACCAACCGGTCTGTTTGGAGACACGGGCATATATAGCAAATAAGAGATATTAAAGCAAACAGATCCCACATGAAATTCCACATTCAAATTTTGTGAAGTGTCAAGCCTCAGAGCCTAGCAAATAGAAGTCCAGCAAATCTCACACTCTGGCACACTAGTAACTTGCCACTCATGCACCTCTGCAGACCGAAAGCCACACAGAAGAACTGAGGGAAATGTTTTCCATTATCGATCCTGACTAGAGCCCAGCAAGTTAAAGGAAAGAGAAAAAAGAGCCATCATAGAATGAAATTTTATCCAAACTATGCCTAACCTTACCTACTATTTTTATTCTTTTAACCCTAACAAGTGAGATGTTCTCAGTCACAAGTAAAAAAGAAAATGGATCACATCTTCCAAATACTAGCATTCAACTACCTGTCAAGTGACATGTCTTAGACTAATCTGGAAAAAAGTATATCAAGCATGATTTTTTGAATGAACAAATCTGCAAATTAAGACATTGCAATCTGTTTCTGTCAGAATCCAGCCCAATCCACCAAGCTACTACTGACTTGCCAAATCCAAAAAAAAGAGACCGTTATGAACATTATATTTGTGTCCCCCAAACTTCCAGATTCTGTATTCATATGTAGTATATTTACCGCTAATAGGAAAAGACAATGAGATATAAGGCAACTTCAAATATAAAATATGGCTTATAATGCCTGAGAAGGCTGTCTACACATGGGGTTAAAGAAAAATGAAGGCAAAAATTTATAAAATCACTCAACAAATTTCTAATAACATCATTGCACAACAGCTGCTAACAAACTGTCACATAAGTACCAGTCTAGAAGTATTCTCAGACAGGCAATTTTGTCCCACAAGGGACATTTGCAATATTTGGAAATATGTTTGGTTGCCACAACTGTAGGGGGAGGGGTTACAACTGGCATCTAGAGGGGATTGTGACTGACATTACCAGGTAGATGCCAGGGATGCAGTTAAACATTCTGCAGTGTTATAGTATAGCTCCAACAAAGAAATACCTGACTCAAAATGTCAGTAGTGCTGAGGAGTCCTGTTCTGGAGATATTGAAAACAAGGCATAATAAGTTTACTTGCAAACTTAAAATAGATTTATTTAGAAGAAATAGGTGAATATAATATATCTGATTATAACTCCAGAATAATGCACCAGAAGTGTGTGCTTCCTATGATGACTAATTTTCATCTGTCCACTTGACCAGGCCACAGGGTACCCAGATAGTTGATCAAATATTTATTCTGAGTGTTTCTATGAGGATGTTTTGGAATGAAATATTTAAATTGGTGGACTGCCCTCTGAGTGGGCCTCATGCCATCAGCTGAAGACCTGAATAGAACCAAAGGCTGACCCTCCCCCATGTCTGAGAATTCTCCTGCCTAACACTTTCTAACGGAAACACTGGCTGTTCCTAACTCTTATAAGGTTTTGGCCTGTAGACCTCAACTGGGACATTGCAGTTTCTGCAGATTCTCTATAATCATGTGAGCAATTCTTTATATATACATTTAATCATACAATGTATTTTTTTCTGTATCTTGGGAGAACTGTAATTAATATACTACATGGGAAGCTTCTTTTAGTTTGGGATCTTGGTTAGCTTTCTTTTGTTGTTTTATAAAAAGGCTAAGAAATATAATTTTTATTGATTTATTACAGGATGGCCCTGTTACTAAGCATTGTCTATGTAGTATACTCCCACCCAAAGCAGAAACAAGTTCCTAAACACAAACAAACCTGATATTTTGTAGGTCAACACTGTGTAAAGGTTGGGCGAGTGTCGGAGGAAGAGACCACCAAGAGACTGTCTCATGCAACAGCAAAGGGTTTATTGGGGGTCCAGCATGCTGGGGCTCAGAGCTCACTTGAATAGAGCAAAGAGAGCCCCGGGAACAGCTTAAGCAGAGCTTATATACTTTCCTTGGAGAGGGCGGGGACTTCACATACAGCATAGCCAATCATTGCACGGTTTCTGGGAGGGGTTGTTTTCGTAGAGCAACCAGATGATCAGTGGGCATTTCCGGGAGTTGTTTTCAACTTCTACATGAGTTTCAGGTTCCAGGAAAACAGAACTTGATTCTTAAATTCTTAACCTTTTCAACTGCACATATAATCTAATCTCATAGCCTGTTAATTCCCTTTTAAACTTGACTTCTTAACTCTGTTCTCTCAGTAAAACAATAGTATATGATAACTAGAAGTATTTGCTTCCATCTTCCCACACATACTGTCTGACAAGGACTGCCATGCTAGTTACCACCTCCAAGTCAGATTCAAATGTCCCAAGAAAGTTTCCCATTGGTATTTTGCAAAGAGGAAGATTTGACTCTGAATTGGAAACCTCCTATTATAAGTACTTGCATTTATTTTGTATTACTTTAAATGCACATTTGCCAAAATCATTGCCTTCTTTGACACAAAAACAGTCCACCATGGCATCTCTGCCTAGTATTAATAAAAAGGGAAGATTAGAAATGTACATACTGCCTAATTTTAAAAATCCTAATTCTACATTCTTAATGCCAGTTTCTAAATAATTAACTATTGTTAACAGCCTAATGAAAATGTTAGTGGATAGTAAGTGGGGGAAAAAACAAAAACCAACCAGGCCTAATACCATACACCATTGTTGAACATTTAATTGATGATCTTTCTCTTACCTTATCCGGGCTACTCCAAATAATGCACTTGGGAGAAATTAGAAAGAGATGTTTTAATCTGCATTTTCTATGGGATTTTTTCTTACGAATGAAAAAAAAAAAAGGAATCTGCTGAAATTAAACGTCTGTGTTCTACAATTCCTTGTATGCTTCTCCCTTCCTCATTGTCACAAATAGCAAAGCTGGCTATCTGAGAGCATTTTTCCAACTCGGTTTATACACACATTAGGTGACAGCCAGATTTGAAAAAAAAAAAAAATGACAGCCCTAATTTATCTTTATGTATCCCAGGATCTGAGCAAGTTCTTCAAGATAAATTTGTTTTTCCCATTTCAGGGAGGGCTTGCCTTGAATTAGTCACCAAATTCCAGAAATAGCCCATAGTGACTACTTCTGTGTGTTTGTTGCCCGATGTTAATTTCTATAGACCTTGCTGTGGACTATCCCTTCTAGGTATGGCATTTAGCACAACAAGTCTTTCTGAGCCTGGGTAAAATATACCTAGCAATAGCTGACTGAAGAGAGCTCTGCTCCTGATGAATATCAGATCTGGTTAAAGAATAAGTCCAGGAAGTAGAAAAGATACTGCAAAGGAAGGGTTCATGTAATTCTTCCTGTAACATTAACACTATGTGGTATTACTATGAGTAGGAATGTTCTAAATGTCCCAGAAGTGTGTCTAGTCTCCTACAGGATCAACATGGAGAAGGAATTCCAACATCACCTCTCCAGAATGCCAGAGAACTCAGCCATAAAGCAACAAAAGCTGCCTGCCCACCGGCTCCACTTCTCAAACCAGGCATTCTTCACTATATTTTTTGCCACAGGAGCATTCTGCTTTTGCATAGGTATCATCCTTTTATTGTCTGCATGGAAAGTTCAGGAAATAGAGGTTTGTCCTGGCTTACTTTTATTTATTTATTTAGTTAGTTAATTATACATACTGGAGATTGAACTAGGAGTACTTAAGCACTGAGCCACATCCCCATCCCTTTATTATATTTTATTTAGAGACAGAGTCTCATCAAGTTTCTTGGAGCCTTGCTAAGTTGATGAGGATGGCTTTGAACTTACAATCCTTCTGCCTCAACCTCCCGAGCCCCTGGGCAGCCCCTGGGCTTATAGGTTATGTGCATCACCACACCTGGGCCCTCTTACTTTTTTTTTCTCCCAAGTTATAGGTGGATACAATACCTTTTAATTTAGTTAGTTAGTTTATGTGGTGCTGAGGCTTGAATCCAGTGCCTCACACGTGCTAGACAAGTGCTACTGAGCTACGACCTCAGCCCCCTCCATCTCACATTTTAAATGCAATTTCCAGGAATTTTCAACTTTAGGACTATAAATGGGAATGATTAGTTAAAGGACATGGTGCCTCAACAGGGACCTAGATGAGATTGCAATATCCCTCTTTCAGCTCACCAGTACAGATAGCAATAGAGCCCATGTGGTTGCTTTATTTGTCCCTTTTACCTATTAATGACAGTTGCCCTCAAGCTGGTCAGCTCAGCCATATTTGTGTGCAAGGGCCTGGCAAAGTCAGTTGCTTTTTACACTGGCAGAGGAGCAGGCATGCCACTAATAGAGGTAAGAGGAGTGCCAATGACAAGGATCCATGAATCGCACTGATAAAGAGCAAGAGCCAAAGATATGGGCCTTCAATTTAAAAAAAAAAAAAAAGTGCATTTTTATTTTAGTTTCTTTATTAACATGTAAATATTATACATATTTATTGAATACAATGTGATAGTTTAGTACATGTATACAATACATATTGACTCGTAAAACTTAGAAATAAAGAAACAAGCAGAATGCAACACCATTTTCAAACTAGATTTATTCCACATACATCAATAATCATACTTGGAACACTTCTTTCTCTGTGTTTGGTCATTTGGGGTAATTTCCTCTGTATGCCATTTAAAATAACCCATTGATATGAATGTGTTTTTTTTTAATTTTTAGTTTTAATTAGTTACACATGACAATACAATGACCTTGACATATCATACATTTGAATCAGATGGGATATAATTTCTCATTTTTCTTAGCGTACAGGTTGCAGAATCACATTGGTCATACAGTCACGTATATACACACAGCAATAATAATGTCTATTTCATTCCACTATCTTTCCCTTCCCCCCCACCCCCTCCTCTCCCCTCCCATCACTTCTTCTCTCTACCTAATCTAAGGTAACGCTATTCTTTTTTTTTCCTCATCTTCATACACGTATAGATATGAATGTTTTTCATACAATAAAATGGCAAAACAGTGAAGCAACTTCCTCATAAAGGTGGTTAGACTCAGACTATAAGCCCAGTTTTCATGAGTCACTGACTAATACCTTCCTACTGACACTTCTTTATGATCAAGAGGCAAGGCTTCGTCCCAACAGGACGCATGAGAATGCAACAGAAACACTGAACTCCAGGCAAGTGACCAAATGCTGCCAGGTCCTCAAATGAAAGGCTGCACGAAGGCCCACTCCCCGTGAAACACCCTGGACCACTTGCCCTGCACAGCACGTGATGCCCATCAGTCAAGTTGAAGGCTCCATGCCCCAGACAAGTTGAAGACTTTGGTGTACTTGGGACTTGATCAGAACTCGTGTAATTTTTAAATTAATAATTGTTCTTTTTCCTGCCTGACAGATTAATTACACAAACATTTGTGAAGATTGTGCTAAAATGCGGGAAAATGCCTTAAATTTTGACAAACAATGCACCTGCTCCATTCCCTTCAACCTTCAAAAGACTATGAAGGTTAGTGAAATTGAAGAGTTCAGTTGACTTTGTGCTGTTATACTTCTATTGAACTCTCCTCCGTAAGTTGACAATTTCCATCAAATGGTTAAACAAAACTAAAAAAAAAAAAGTATTTAAAAAAGAAAAAAAGGCAGGGTGAGGGTGACAAATCTTGAGTTTATGACCCCCCCACATTCCTTGTATTATTATTCACCTTTGTTCCTTCATTTTTAAGTTTTAAGACTCTTTACCTTCCCAACTTTGTAACATGATTCTTAAAATCAATCAAATAGGTTTTATTTCAAATGTCAGCACAGGAGGTAACTAGAGATCATTGAATTCAATCACTCATTTTGTAATGAGAAAATTAATGGGCTGGGAGGTTAGGTGACTTGACCAAGGTCACAGAGTAAGCTAATGTCAGTGAGACTTTCTTGGGAGATCCCCTCCATGAGATATTCCCCATATGTAACTGCCTAATCCCAAAGAGACTCTTGGCCTGATTGTCAGGCACTGTAAGACATGGCAAAGAAATATTGAGAAGTTCCTGCTGAGTAAAGTCGTATTTGTTAGTCTAGGTCCTCTGAGAAGAAAAAACCAAGACAAAATGAGACACACAAGAGACTTTAATGGAGGGATGCCTGAGAGGGAAATGAGAAGGGAGCTGGAGGCTGAGAAAGCTGCCAGACCACAAGACAGGTCTGACCCTAGAGAAGGAGAAAAGTTAGGAAATAGAAGAGAAAGGGGGAAGGGGCAGAGGTGAGGAGGGTTTTCAGGAGATGATGATGGTTTAGGTTTGGAACCACCTGGGTGTGAGGTAGGAGCAGCACCTCCTTGGGGTGGAATGTTCAGCGGGAAACTCAAGAGAAAACCTGCCAGGACTAAGATCCATCCCATGTAGAGAGCCATCAATGAAGAGGAGGAAGGGGAACAGGTCAATGGGAGCTTGGTGCAGTTGAGGGATACAGAGTCCAGAGGACAGAATAGGGCCTTGAGATACCTTTGAGGAGTTGAAGGAAATGCATTTTTCATTTGATTAAGTCAGGAGGACATGAAGAAAGCTCTTCTCAGATCTACTGCAGAGAGTGATAGGGATGATCTCAACTCCTGTGCTCTGAAATCAGTGTTTGCATGAAGGCCATGCTCCCCAGGGTCCCACAAATCAGGGGCTAAGCACAGCAGGGATACTGAGGTAGGCTCTTCCAAGAGAGAAGATCTATATATCTATATATCAAGAAGATATACTTAATAAAGGTAAGCCTTTTTATTTTGAGATACAGGCCTTCATTATTTTGAAGGTATGTGGTATATTAATTATAAACAACTACATTGGACATTTCCATGTGTGGTGTTAGTAAAATCTGTCTTATTTCTGCCTGGTGATTTCAAGAGGCTTGGTTTGTCACCATAAAGGTAAAATCACAATGGTAGCCTGTGACTGAACAGCCTTTTACAGTAGCACACATGGAAAGGTATCTCTCATGGCAACAAGGCTACTTATTTTTAGGATGAAAATCACCTTCTTAGCTGGGTAAGGTGGTACATGCCTGTAATCCCAGCAATTTAGGAGACTGAGGAAGGAGAATTTCAAGTTTAAAACCAGCCTACACAACTTTGTGAGACCCTATCTCAAAATGAAAAATAAAAAGGGGCTGGGTAAGCAGCTCAGTGGTCAAGTGTCCCTAGGGAGCTGGGCACAGTGGCACATGCCAGTAATTCCAGCAGCTCAGAAGGCTGAGGAAAGAGGATTGTGAGTTCAAAGCCAGACTAAGCAACTTAGTGAACCCTAAGCAATTCTGTAAGACCCTGTCTCTAAATAAAATATAAAAAAGGGCTGGGGATGTTGCTCAGTGGTTAAGCACCCCTGGGTTCAATCCCCAGTACCAAAAAGATTGCCTTCTTTTGGATCAGTGAGTCATTCCATCTGTGTCCATAGCAGATGGCTTACCTTTCCTTGAGTAATTATTACATGCCAGGTACTGTGCTAGATCCTAGGGATAAAAAGGCAAAATATCCGGAGGCTGACAACAAGAAGCAACTAGTCTCAGGGCTGGGGTTGTGGCTCAGTGATAGAGCACTTGCCTAGCATGTGTGAGGCACTGGATTCAATCCTCAGTACCACATAAAAATAAATAAAATAAAGGTATTGTGTTCATCTACAACTAAAAAGTTTTTTTAAAAAGAAGAAGAAGCTTCTAGTCACATGGCTTTTATGTGCCCAGTATGCACAGACACCTAAATATGCTTAGTAGCTCCAATTTTGAATAATATTTCATATATTTGCTTTGAAATTATATGACTTTAGGTGCCTACCACAACCCCTAGTGAAGTGTTTTTCCTGATATAGCTAGGAAATAACAATATTTGTAAAAACAAATTTTATATATTGAAAATACAAAGCCTGGTTATAAAAAAATATTTCAAGGCAAGAGAACAGTAGCCCTTATGAAAACTTTACAAATAGGTAATTTAGTCATTACAATAATGTCTATAGACCAGGACTTCCCAGTAGTGATTGTTAAGAATTATTTCTTGGGTTTCTATTTTCCAAAAAGAAACTTTCAATTCCCATTAATTTTTTTAAGTACATTTTGTCTTAAAAATTTCTGTCCAAGTTTATTAACATTCCAGTTAATTTCTCCTACTGTTTGTTTCTTCTTACTTTTCTCCCATTCAGGGTGATGTTTATATGTACTACAAATTGTATGGCTTCTATCAGAACCTCTATCGCTATGTCCTATCCAGAAGTCATAACCAACTGATGGGTAAGGATTTAATGGTAAGACTTTATTTAATTTTTTGTAATATTCTTTTTATTTTTTAAACCAGGGGGATTTTTTTAGTCTAAAAGGGGATGAAAAATAAACTCAAAAGTTAAGGTTTAATAAAACAGTAATGCTTATTTTGTTTTTGCATGAATTAAGGAGCTGGATATACAGGATAACTGTTATTGAGAAAGAGTACTGGGGCTGGGGATGTGGCTCAAGCGGTAGCGCGCTCGCCTGGCATGTGCGAGGCGTTGGGTTCGATCCTCAGCACCACATACAAATAAGATAAAAATGTGTGTCCACCGAAAACTAAAAAATAAATATTTTTTAAAAATTCTCTCTCTCTCAAAAAATAAATAAATAAATAAATAAATAAAGGCATTGTGTTGTGTCCATCTACACCTAAAAAAACAAAACAAAAAAAAATGTATCCCAGCATTTAGTGTGATAGATAGCATAGCCACAAGGTTAAGTTTCTTCCTACAGAACTTTTGGTAAGCTATGGATTGTTAATGAGAAAAGAAACACATTTAGATACCCACATAGGTACATGCATATCTCCAAAACACAAAAATGTCCTTGTCTAAGTGAACCAGAAGCCTGGGAAAAACAGATAGTATTCCAAAATACTGGTCTGTTTCAATAAAACAGGGTAGGTTGATCAATGTTGCCAATGTTCCCTCTTTCAGTATTCTAAGAATTTGCCAAAAGCATTTCTCATTGCTGTGTCATCTTGCATCCAGGATGTTGAGGACTGTGCTCCATTCAAAGTAACCTCCAATAAGATCCCCATTGCTCCCTGCGGTGCTATTGCCAACAGCATGTTCAATGGTAGGTGACTTTTTTCTATCTCTGTGATGTTCCTTTTCCGTAGTGTATGACTTCCTAGATATCCAGGACATAATCCTTGCAGCTGAGGGGCAGGTTTTTTTTTTTTTTTTTTTTTAATGCTGTATGTATTATCCTGGTTAAGCCAGAACACCGATGTAGTAAATTCTTCCTTGCCAGAAATCTGAAAGAATGGTCGGAGAATACAAGTTAGATGGAGCTCAAGAGTATTTTTCAATAATTGCCTCAACTTCAGCTGGAAAAAGAATGGTCTTGTGATTCTAGCATCTATGGCATGTAGGAGTGTTGAGACTGCAAAAAAACCTTTTTTTCATCTATTCTGCATTTTGGTTCTACATTTTGAAAGGTGGCAAAATTACTAGCATGCACCTCTGATACAACTTTTTTTTTTTTAGATACCATAATCCTTTCATATACCCGTTCGACATCTGAACATATCCAAGTTCCAGTGCTAAAGACTGGACTTACATGGTGGACAGATAAGTACGTCAAATTTCAGAATCCAAGTTTCAGAAATCTCTCTGATCATTTTATAGGTAAGATCTATACAGTAGTTCAATATTCTAACCTCTTTACAAAAACTTGTTTTGAATGTGTGGAGAGAAGTTTATGAGTCCTTCTTATCTATTTCTTTGACTCCTTTTCACTTTAACTCTCCCTACTGTGTACATCTCCTCCATGTACCTACTAGAAACATGAAATGACTGGTTCTATTTCCTCCCAATTTACCATCAAGACAAAGGCAATGTTTTAAGAAACTTGCTACTTCAACTGAATTCAGGATGATCATATAATTTATCATCCAAACTTATGCACTTTTGAGAGTAAAAGGGGGCACTAGAACAACTAGCTATATACTATTTGGAGTTTTCATTTACTGATCAATAAATTGACATAACATTCATAGACCTATAAAATAATTGTACTAAAATCTACTTTCAAAAATGCAGTTGCTTCAAAAATCAAAATAACATACAAGTGTACAATAAAACAACTTTTAGAAAAACTACTTTAGTTATTATCTAAATATTACAAGACAACAAAAGTAGGATGTTTATTCAGGATACACATTCACCTTATTTATTCTGGATATAATTTCACAATTTCTTGGCCAACAATATCTGTCTTTATATATGCCCCTATATTTTTAATAAACTTATTATTTTTACTGTAGCCTTAGTTTTAATTCTTTTTTTAATATTTGGTTTTTTTTAAGTTGTAGTTGAACACGATACCTTTTTTTAATTTACTTTTATGTGGTGCTGAGGATCGAACCCAGGTCCTCGCTCATGCCAAGTGAGCATTCTACCCCTGAGCCACAACCCCAGCCTCTAATTTTAATTCTTTCACAAAAATTTTCAAATCTTTTTAAATTTGAATTTTTTAGCTAATCAATTTGAAATTGTTAATGCCTTTAACTGATTCTTCTCTTTTGACTCTAAACTGTTTTATTGAGAAAATACTCTATAGGTGACAAGATACTCACAGACAATTTGGCTAAGTGGAAGAAATTCTCAATTTCAATTTCTTTTCAGTAGAATATTCTAGTATTTTAATCCAAATATTTTCATCAATAATGGTTGTTGTTTTTACTTCATATAGTCTTTTTTCTACTTTTGATTCTTTTGAATGTATTACTAAATCTAAATGCTATAAATCTTAGACCTTCTCAGTATCATTTCATCTAGAACAGAAAATTTTATCCAGTCCAGGGCTATCAAAAGTCTTCACATGGGGCTGTGGTTGTGGCTCAGTAGTAGAGCACTTGCCTAGCATGTATGGGGCACTGGGTTCGATACTCAGCACCAGATAAAAATAAATAAATAAAGATATTGTGTCCATCTACAACTAAAAAAAAAAATATATTTTAAAAAGTCTTCACATAAATCAAGATGTTCCAAAGCATAGTTATAGAATTTAAAAATTATTTGTTTGCTTTAACACAGTTAGAATTCAATCTTACTTGCAAGCTTGGTTTTTAATAATTATAGTTCATTAAATCTTCAAAAATTTAAGCTTTTTGATATTTAATATTTCAGACACTTCAAAAAATTTTTTAACTATTTTGAGCAAAATGCAACCAAAATTAGAAGATTCATTTACAGAAAAAATTCAAGATCATTGTAGGACACACCATCTGATATACAAAAACATTCCTTAAAAGTTCAAGTATTTCTAAAATTCTTATCCATGGTACTGTAAGTGGTATCATGCTGAAATATGTTTAATTTAACATGTGTCATTATAAAAATTTTGCAGTTCAGTTTCTTAGTAAATATACAAAAATAATTAAATTTGTACAACTGCAGCTCTTGTTTTGATTAATGAGATATTGTAGCTTGCTAGGATACAATTGTTAATTATATATACACAATGACCAATTTTAAGTACATTTTTTTCTATGTCGATTTCTCAATTTACCAAGAGTATTATCTTTACTTACATCATTACAAAACTACATTTTATTATGTCACTACAAACCAATTTAAACTTGACTCTTGAAGCTTTTAGCTGAGTTTATAGTAACATTTACAATAATGTTGGTGGTTTCATCTTCAATGATTGAACTTCTAAGAACTTGGCTTTGATTCTATGAGGAATTAATCCCCCCCATCAAACTATTATAGGTAATTTACCTGATTTCTATATGTAAGGACATTCACATAAAAAAAAGGCCTCATTTAACTCTTTACAAAGTTCCTCTTGTGCTAATGGAGTCAACACATTAAAAGCTTTTCTTTGGTTACAAAAACTATCTGTAATAGAAAAATGAAACTAAAAGAAATTCATCTGATGTTAATAAAAAGTCATGCTCACAGTGATACATAAATGAACCATTGTCTTTGGACATAATCTTTTAAAAGTAAGCAACAATCTTTTGAAGCAAATTCTGATGTTCTTCAGCAGATTTATCTCTTTAGATTTTCATATGGTGTGGGTGTATTCATCAACTTCCTTAAGAAACTCTACTCATTTTCACATTAAACACATACATCCCACTTTTTAGCTCTTCACAGCTAAAAGGGTTTATTAACAAATAAAAAATGACATCAAACAATATAGTAGTTGTACAATTACACCATAAAATAAATAGAAAAAAACACTTTTGCAAGAGAGTTCAAACTCCTCTCAGCAGGAGTGCTTGCCATCTATTTCCCACACATTCATCATATGCACATAACTGAACCTATAATTTCCCACGTTTTCCACTGACCCCACTGATTTGCACTCTGGCAGCTTCACACAACTCACAGGCCAAAACAGAAACTATGGGCTAGCTGGCTGGAATGTGAAACAGCTGGCAGAGGTCACAGGGATAGCTTATATTAGATTTTGACTGAAAGTATTCCTGCTCATCTTTCACATACAATCACAAGTTAGTAAGTAGGCCATTCATTGCATATGGGCAGTTCACACACTACTAGTAAAGACCATGCCTGAGAGCTGGTGGGATGAAATTGTATGTACACTGTTTATCTGTAGTACATGCTAAATCAGATGGGAAAACAGACATAAATTGAGACTGTTCTCAGCAAACTAGCATGTGTGGTCACTGTGTCTATAATTCAGTTACCAGTTTTTGAAAGGAACTTGGCAACATTCTGTTGTTTTGTCTTACCACATAACCATAGGCCTATAACAAAAAGGGTCCTTGGCTTTCTCTCAACTCCTGCTGCACTTTGTTCTTGCTTTTAAGAGTCACTCATCACATTGTACCCTTCTTTTTGCATACCTGTCTATGAATTCCTGGAGGAAGGAGATTTATGCAGGTTTGTATCTTTGGTGCTTGATACACAGTGAATAATCAAGAAATGTTTATTGTTGAATGAATAGATAAATACAAATGACCCAGGGAACTTGAAAAAGAAGGATGTTTGTATCTCTTAAACCATGTTTCTTACTTATACTCTGGATGCATGGGATGGGGTGGGATTGGGATTGGGAGTTGATAGGAGAAAGCACCTTTGAACTTGCTTTTTGTTTTTTCAGTGGTCCTGGGGATTGAACCCGGGGGTATTCTACCTCTGAGCTACATCACCAGACCTTTTTAAAATACTGAGATGTGGTCTCGCTAAATTGCTCAGGCCACTTCAAACTTGCCATCCTCTTGCCTCAGCTTCTAGAGTTACTAGGATTACAGGCATGTACCACCATGTCCAGCCCTTTGAACTGGGTGCTTCTAACATCTGTAGCCCACAGGACATTCCACCTTAGGTCATAATCTCAAGCCAAAGTAGAAAAAAGGTGAGGTCCACAGTGCAGGCACCAAAGGCAATTTCAACTTTGAACAAAATTTTTTCTAGCAAAAGTGATTGAAGTTCTTGGGAAGGGGCAAGATAGGCAGGCTCCACAGTGTTTACAAAGGAAGATTCTCCAGCAAAGGATTATTTCCAGAGGAAGTACAATTGTATACAAACATACTTCAGCAGATTAATCCAACCAAATTTAGCATATGCTTTTATAAATACCATAGCCCATGCTTCAAAAACAAGTCTGGATTTATTTTTGGAGGGATTTAACCCAGGGTGCTTAACCACTAAGCCATATCCCTAGCTCTTTCTTGGTTTTATTGTTTGTTTGTTTGGTTTTTAATTAATTTATTTAGAGACAGGGTCTCACTGAGTTTCTTAAGGCTTCGCTAAGTTGCTGAGGCTGGCTTTGTGATTCTCCTGCCTCAATCTCGTGAGCCACTGGCATTACAGGCATACGCCACAGTAATTCTGGATTTTTTTTTAGTAGGAAATACTTTAGTCAGAAGTCAGAGTTGAGAAAGAGTGGTTCCTTTTTACCATGTGCACATCCTACAAGTAGAGCCAGTTTTATGGAAGTAAAAAAAAAAAATCTACCCTAATTGACTAACTCTTTAAAATCCAGTGTGGTTTTTATTACCAACTTCTGTCAGATTTAGTTGGAATCCTTCCTCCTTTTTTCAAGCATTTATTGAACACCTACTATATGTGTCAGGCACTGGCCTAACTGGTTGGTAATGGAAAAGCGGAAGAAGATGAGACTGTTCTCATGAGTTCTCTGCAGAGTAGAAGAAAGACATGCCCCCAGTTGTGGAGTGGGAAGTGTGAGAATAAGAGTGCAGTCAACAAACGTGTCTCCTGGCACTGCCTTCCACCCACTGCTTCCAACATTCCTCCAGCATCCTCGCTTCCTGGCGGGATGAGGCTTGCTATTCCTGGCCTCTGCACCTCCACCCACTTTCTAATTCTTCCGCCTTATCAGCTTTGAGCTTTCAGGAGCAGTGCTGGGGTGAACATCTATGTGAACCAATCTTCCTGTGCTTTCATGGCTATTTCCTTAGAACACATTTCTAGAAGCAGAATTTCTGCACCAAAAAAACATATGCAAAATAATAAAGCTTTTCATGTATATTTTTAGATTGCAATATCAAAGATGGTAATCCACATGCCTGCTTCAAATAAGAGTTTCCCTTCCACAGCCTCCTCAATGCCTGTCACTTTTTTCTTTAAATATTAACCAATTTTTGGATGGAAATAGTGTCTTGTTTTAATTTGCTGTCTTCAGATTACTTGTGAAATGTTTTTTAAAAATATATTTCCTGGGCTGGGGTTGTGGCTCAGCAGTTGAGCACTCGCCTAGTACATGCAAGGCCCTGGGTTCGATCCTCACCACCACATAAAAATACATAAATAAAATGAAGTGTTGTGTCCAACTACAACCAAAAAAAAGTTTTAAACTATATTTCTAAAAATAAATAAGTAAATAAATAAAATAAAACATAAAAATTATATTTTCCATGATGATACTACTGAAGACAATATCATTTTGTTCTACCTATTTTTCAAGGTTTTATACATGTGTAATATAGTTAAGGCATAATATGCATATATTTTTATATTCTACACTTTTTTTTAACCCTATGAAATTATCATGAGTATTTCCTTAAAATCCTTAAGGCCATTACTTTTAATTGTTGCATATTCAGATAGCTTTCACACACACACACACACACACACACACTTTTAAAAGTCTGATTTCTATTTCTCTTTCCTCATGAATGAAGTTCTTTCATTCTCTACATCCTAGGGAAAAGTGAGGAGATAGATAGGTGATTTTTCTCTACCATTCCCCTTGTTTTCCTCCCTCAGGAACTGAAAAGCCCCCATACTGGCAGGAGCCCATCTATGAGCTGGACACAAGTGATCCAGGAAACAATGGTTTCCTCAATGATGACTTCATTGTGTGGATGCGGACCGCTGCCTTTCCTACCTTCAAGAAACTGTACCGTCGACTCTATCGAGTAAAATATTTTTCTGATGGCTTACCTGCTGGTAATTATACTTTCGACATATCCTATAGTATCCTTTTATACCACTTTTCTTTCTGAAGATGAAGGAAAATCTGGCTACTGGTTGTTGAATTCTTGCATTTTATACTGTGGTATTCTCCAAATTTATTTACCAAAAGAAAAAAAGTGCATTTCTCTCTTATAGATAATAGTGTGGAGGGGAGGAAATACTGTCCCCTACTCCTCTAGGGTCTTCATTTAGGACTGACATAAGACATTAACAGGAGAAAAAACATCCAAAATTTATTTGCACATATGTAGGAACATTTTCAGGTAAAACAGGACCCAAAGAAGTGACTAAGTGTGTATGTACTAGGTTGAAAAGAGTGGCAATTGTGGAGAAGTAATTAGAAAAATAAGGGTTAGTTTAACCAAGTTTGTTTATACAGATGCCCCTTACCCTCAGCTCCCAGTCTTTAGTGATAAAAACATTTCTTCTCTCCTGTTGTAGGAAGGGCATCTTTCTTCTTCTGTTTTGTTTTTCAACAAGCATAAAATCACTTGATTTTATTAATATTTAATATAACCAATGTAAAGCATAACGAAGTTATCACATACATTGTTACATTAACATTTAAATATTACAAAATAACATTAGGGAAGGGCATCTTTTTTAATATTTATTTTTTAGTTATAAGTGAACACAATATTTTCATTTATTTATTTATTGTTATGTGGTGCTGAGAATTGAACCCAGTGCCTCATGCATGGTAGGCAAGTGCTCTACCTCTGAGCCACAACCCCAGCCCAGGAAGGGCATCTTTCACATGGAAGTTTTATCTCTGTTTTCAGGAAGAAATTGGAGGTAGGAGTATCCCTCTTTTACTTGCTGTTTTTCAAGTGTCTTCAAAATAATAGGTTAAAGAGGCATATTTTGGGGTGCCATATCTCCAACTTCAACTGTTATACAGCTATTTGTTACCATGTTATATACTTAAATTTTGTACTTTTTTTAAGGACTAACAGCTAATTGCAGTATCAGGTAAAGAAGTCCATATAAGCATGAGTAACAAAAGTTCTTAGGGACAAAGCATTTTGTTCTCCAAGAAAAGAAAGACTAAATAACAGTGCCTAGAGACTTAAAACCTATAGGATGGGGATATGGAGGATTCTGAAAGTAAAGAGATACAGTTTTGATAAGAAGCAAATTTGAGATATAGACTAAAAATAATAGAGCCAGAACGGTGGTACACACAGTGACTTGGGAGGCTGAGACAGGAGGATTTCAAGTTCAAAGCCAGCCTCAGCAAAAGAGGCACTAAGCAACTCAGTAAGACCCTGTCTCTAAATAAAAACATAAAATAGGGCTTGGGATGTGGCTCATTGATGCAGTGCTCCTGAGTTCAATCCCTGGTACAAAAAAAAAAAAAGTAGCGACTGAGAATATTTTATTCTAGGCAAAAGTATCAGAGCCCAAGGGCACCCTGGACTCAAGGAACAAATCCAGTTAATCCAGCCCACACTGGGCGGGCTATGAGCTCTGCACTGAAGATGCTGTGTTTGTCCCTCCCTTAGGTGCTGAGCCAGCAAGTGGGAGTTGGTGCCTTTGTAATAGACATATGGTCCAGGTTAAGAGACATATGCCTTAATAGAGATCAAGAATTTTTCCACTTAATTTAAAAATACAAATGTAACTCTTTTTTTTTTTTTCCTGTACTGTGGATTGAATCCAGAGTTGCTTAACCACTGAGCCACATCCACAGTTCTTTTTAAATATATCTTTAAAGTCAGGATCTCACTAAATTGCTGAGGACCTTGCTAAGTTGCTGAGGCTGGCTTTGAACTCACCATCCTCCTCCTGCCTCAGCCTCCTCTTTGGGATTACAGACGTGCACGCCCAGCATAACTCTTAATTTAAAAACAAAAAGGATTTAACTTTAAAATGGCACCAAACACTGTCTTTAAGAGGTTATAAATTTAAACATTATCTATACTAACTCTAATTTTCAGAGTTAATTTTAAATTCTCTTTACGACGCTCTCTGAGGGAAAAAAAAAAAATTCTCTTGGAAGTAGAATCTTTCCTGGTCTTGTGCACAGCTTTGAAGCTTCAGCCCAAACAGGCATGGGTACATCTTGCAGCATATCAGAGTTAGTAGCTAGTTGTTTGGTGGGACCCCACGCAGACTAGAAGTTCCTTAGCACACAATTGTTCACCTCCCAAGGAGGTTGAATGAGAAATTTTAGAGGAAACATAAACCATGAATGACTGCGCAGGCTCCAGTTTCCTACTACATGTTTTCTTCTTCTCTCCTTCAGAAAGTATATGGATATCTCTGACAGGGGAGTGGTGGCTTCAGAAATGTCCCTGCTAATGTGACAACATCTCTGCCTCCTAGCTTTTTGCCTCCTCTTGTAGTCATTTGCCTTTAGCTAGTTCCTTTAGCGCAGGGTCTCTAATTCTATTCTATGTACATAAAAGCCACAAATGTCCTCTCTTGTGGAGCATTATAGGACAGATACTGTCATGTATAACTGATGAGAACAAACAAAAAATAAATTTTAAAAAGAATAAATCGTAGAAGATTACCTTTTAAGGGAAATGTCAGCAAAACTCCTTTCTGCCTCAAAAAAATTTAAGTGAGTTAGGAAGTTGCTTGACAATTGCCTCTCAAGTTGGACCCCTGATCCCAACTTGTGACTGCCTTACCAGTAAAGTAGTTATAACTGCATTCAAGAAGTTGGAGGTGGGGGAGGCACTGCTGCCGGCATAATGCATTGGGACGAGTTGGAGCTGGGAGATGAGGCAGGAAGGCCGTGTTCCAAACAAGGGACACCACTGTTCCTCCTCTCTCTCTGGATCTGGTTTCCATCATTCTCAGTCATGTTTTAATGCTGATCACTCTCAAGTCTTCCCCATAGACCTTCAATCCTGAGCTTCAAGCCTACCATTGTACTACCTGGGGTGGCCCTACTGTGAATATTATCCAAGCAACCCAGGGGTCTGGCTGAAAGGCAAAATACAGCCTGGGCTGCAGACAATTGCTACTACTAATAGAAAATATGATGTTCTCTGTGTGAGAGAGGGACCCCTCCCGACACCAAATGGAAATGAGGGAGAAGACAGGCATGCAGAGGGGTTTAGGTGGCACTCAGGAACCTGGAGACAATGAGAAAGTCTGATGTAGAAGAAAAAAGAGAACTAGTTTCCTAACATGTTTCCTTGTGCCTTTAAATTGCGTGTTGCCAAGTGATTTGAGGCCTTTTAAGAGCTTTGCTGGGAAATACCTCTGTCCTCTGCCGTTGCTATGAGAAATCTTTGTTTGTTTATTAGTTTCATTTACAAAAGGCACCAGATGTTTAAAAACCTCAGGCCACATACATAATCAAAATGACATCATTAAAATGCTAATGATAGCAAACCCACTTCAAACACTTTCTCCCCAGCAGTGGGGATACTGGCCTTTGCATACCCCAAACAAATGCACCATCTTTAATTTTCCCATCAAAAATGCTTTGCCATCTATCCTATTATTTTACTTACTTTTTTTCCCCCTTAAATCCTCCCCACTGAAAAATTTCCCCTGAAGCAGGAATTCAAAGTTTAGCCTATTAAGGAACTTAACCTCCCCTGGATCTCTTGATTCATAAATAAAAATTTAGGTTTGCTGTATATGACTTTAACTTCCTTGGATTCCTCAGAGTAAGTGAAATATGTTTGTCCATTATTCAGCTGTCTGCAAAGTCATTCAGATTATGACTATATAGAAGCTAGGCTTGTTTTTACTTAATTTTATTCCAGCAAGACACAGAATACTTCTTGATCATGTTGAATCATATGAAACTAAATATTAAACCATTTATTTTACCTACAAAACAGCAATTTTATATGATTTAACCTAACATATTCTATGTGTGCAATGGTAGAGATGAAAGGTACTGTGAAGGATCCTTAACGGGTCTTCTTAGATTTTCCAGTAACCAAGTTCCAAGGAGAAAAATCTGTCATCCTTTCCACACTGTCATGGAATGGAGGTAGCAGCCTTTTCTTGGGACTTGCCTACACAGTGACAGGAGTATCTCTGTGGATGTCTTCCTTTGCCCTGATGGCAATTCAAGGGAAGATTAGAAAAAAGAAACTGACCCATCGTCGTTAAAGTCAAGATTTACAAAGGAAAGCAAAGAATAGAAATGGGAAGTGAAGTAATAGAGCCAAAGGTCTCAGGCAAGGTTTGAGATGGCTGAGACATTTCAACAGGGGGAACTGGATTGACAGAACCAAAACCATTCCAGACAGATAAATAATGGGAATTTCAGAGGTGAAAGAGAGAGGAGGAGTCGGGGGAGGGAGAAAGGCATAATTGTGTGTAATAAATGTCCTTGGAATGAGGTTAATAAATCATCCTTGCGCTCTAGACCAAGTCTCAAGCATTTATTTGAAGTCCTCCATGCCTGACGATGAGGGAGCAGCCTAGAAGAAGGCCATTAAGATGATGCAAACCTGGGCTCCCCAAAAGTAGGTAATGCTTTCAACTATCAGATCAGCCTACTGACTGGTTGAGATTATTTTAGACTTCCCAAGAGTAATTGCTGAATTGAGAATCAGAATGATTTTTGAAAATTGATTATTTAAATTATTTAAAAACTAAGTTTTTTTCTAAGAATAGATCAAGCAAAGGCTATGGCACCCAGAATATAGCCAATACACGAAAAGAAGGGCCAGGATTTTCCTTAAAGTTATCCATGTGGCCAAGAGGGAAACACTGAAAGTGACTGACTCTCAAAAATTGAACTCAGAATGTTGAGGACAAAAAAAAAAAAAAAAAAAAAAAATTCTAGAACTTATATTGGGATGACAAATTCTAAGGTACAAATGGTAACATGGATTTATGATTTGAATTACATGTGTGGAGGGAGCTTCTCAAGGTTCAATTTTAAAAGGTTTTAATTCCTGCCAAAACTCACTTACAGGAGACTGGATGGAGTGGAGTGCCTGGCAAAGCTACCAGATCACAAAGCCCCACAGATTTGGGTACCTAAATGACCACAGTATTATACCTTTTTTTGGTGGGGGACAGGATTGAACACAGGCCCCTCACACGTTAAGCTTTACCACTGAGCTATATCCCCAGTCCTGACCACAATACTATGCTTTCTAAAACATTTTTTGTATTAATTTTTTGAGGTGGAAGAGCTTTACTCTGTGATGATTCTAGGAACAGAATTGCCATTGTTAAAAATATAGTACCAACATGTAGGTCTCTTTAGGAGCCAAGAAAGCCTTTCTTTGTTACAACCTTTTGCATTCACCGAAAAATGCAGCTGGAATTGTTTCAACACCCAACTCAGAAATCTAAGACTCCAGTCCTTTCTCACCTCCCAGGTGGAACCAGTTATCTCTGGTGAGCAGGTATGGTAGGCTGCATGATGCCCCCCTACCTCCCACCAGCCACTAAAGCTAACCACATCCAAATCCCTGCAGCCTGTACATGTTATTCTACTTGTCGAAGAAGACTTTGCATACATGTGTGATTCAGTTAAGGATACTGATATGAGGAGATTATCCTGGGTTTTCTGGGTGGGTCCAAGGTAATCACAAGGGTCCTTTAAAGAGGAAAACAGGAGAACTGGGGAATAGTGGATGTGACAACAGAAAACGGAAGGTTGGAGCACTGAGAGGAAGGAGCCACTCTCCAAAGATGGCAGACAGCCTCTAAAAGCTGGGAAAGGCAAGAAATGATTTTCCTCTAAAGTCATCAGAAGCCCTGCCAACACTTTGATCTGACCTCCAGAAATATATAATAAATAGATTTATGTTGAAGCACGGAGCATGTGGTAAAATGCTAGAATATGTCAAGAGCAATGGTTGCTGGTCTTAGGTGACCTATCCAGGGCAGAGTGCTAGGGCAGAGTGCTAGGAAGAGACAGAGCTCATGAATGAACCAGGCCCACCGAGGTAAGATCCTGGGCTCTTGGCCCTTAGCCCACACTCCTCAGCATGGTGCTGATTAGGAAAGGCATAAACACTCTCCTTACGTCTCAACCTTGCTTGTTCACTTAAAGGATGCTGTATTAGTCAAGGTTCTACAGAGAAGCAGAATCCATAAAGGTGTGTGTGTAGAGTAGATAAACACTCAGATGTATTTTTAAAAATTGGCTCATGTCCTATAATCCCAGGGACTCAGGAGGATCACAAGTTTGAGGCCAGCCTCAGCAACTCAGTGAGGCCTAAGCAACTAAGTGAGACCCTGTCTCAAAGTACAAAATAAAAAGCACTGGGGGTGTGACTCAGTGGTTAAGTGCCCCTGGGTTGTTCAACCCCTGTTTTTTGTTTTTTGTTTTTTTAATGGCTCATGTAATTGTAGAGGCTGGCAAGTCCAGAGTCTGATGGATGAGGCCTGCTCAGGAAAGACTTGCAGTCAAAGTCTGAAGGTATCTTTCTGGGAAACAGGAGCTGCTGTTGCAGATGAAGACTAAAGGCAGTCTACTGGAAAGCTCCCTTTGACTCTGGAAAGGTTAGCCTTTCCTTGTATTTAGGTCTTCATGTTGGGAAGCCCCGTCTGCTTTACTGGGTTGGGTGCCCATCTCACCTAAGAACACCCTCACAGAAACATCCAGAGGAAGGTTTGACCAAATATTTTGGCACCCCATGGCCCATCCAAGTTGGCAAGTAAAATTAACCAAAAAGGCATCTGTGTTCAACAAATAGTCAAGAAGTTTTCCAAAGAAGCCCCCTTCGTTTCACTTTGTCTAGAGCTGGCTTACTGGGAAGGATCTATACAAAAACACAAGTCATGTCCATGAGAAACTAAAATACTTGAGAAAGATAAACAGCCAGAATTTATGCCAGAGCAGACTCTGGTTTGAATGTCCTGCTTTTCTAACCCAAAGTCCATGCCTTCAAAGGAGTTTGTCCTTGCAGGACTGTTACCTGTTCTAAAATCCAGAGCCTTTCTCCTTGACCCTGTCAGAGAAGAGCAGCATCACTCACCCTCGCGGCCCTCCCCACAATGGACAATTGCCTTTACTGATTTTCTTTATCTTCTGTTCTACTCTCGCCACACCCCTCACTTTGCTTTCTCTCTCTCCTTAAAAATTTGTTCTTTTTAGATGTACATGACAGTAGAGTGTATTTTGACATTATGCATACATGAATCATAGCTTATTAGGATCCCATTCTTGTGGTTGCACATGATGTGGGGTTTCACAGGTTGTGTATTCATATAGGAACATAGGAAAGTTATGTCCAGTTCATTCTATTATCTTTCCTCTTTTCATCCTGCCTCCCTTCCCTTCATTCCCCTTTGTCTAATCCAATGAACTTCTTTTCTCGCCCTCTCCCCTTATTGTGTGTTAACATCCACATATCAGAAAGAACATTGGACCTTTGGTTTTTTTGAGATTGGCTTATTTCACTTAGCATGATAGACTCCAGTTCCATCTATTTTCGGGCAAATGACATAATTTCATTTTTCTTTATGGCTGAGTAATATTCCATTGTGTATATACAACACATTTTCTTAATCCATTCATCTATTGAAGGGCACCTAGGTTAGTTCTATAACTTAGCTATTGTGAATTGAGCTGCTATAGATATTGAGGTGGCTGTGTCACTGTAGGATGCTGATTTTAAGTCCTTTGGGTAGATGCAGAGGAGTGGGGTAACTGGGTCAAATGGTGGTTCCATTCCAAGTTTTCTGAGGAATCTCCATACTGCTTTCCAGAATGGTTGCACCAATTTCAGTCCCACCAGCAATGTATTAGTGTACCTTTTTCCTGATATCCTCACCAATATTTATTATTGCTTGTATTCTTGATAATTGCCATTGTGACTAGAGTGAGATAAAATTTTAGAATAGTTTTAATTTGCATTTCTCTTAACTGCTAGAGATGTTGAACATTTTTTCATGTATTTATTGACCAATAGTATTTCTTCTTCTGTGAAGTACCTGTTCAGTTCCTTTATCCATTTATTGATTGGGTTATTTGGGTTTTTGTTTTGTTGTCTTAAGTTTTTTTGAGTTCTTTACATATCCTGAAGATTAATGCCATATCAGAGGCGCAGGTGGTAAAGATTTTCTCCCATCTATAGGCTCTCTCTTCATATTCTTGATTGTTTCCTTTGCTGTGAAGAAGCTTTTTCCTTTGATATCATCCTAGTTATTAATTCTTGATTTTATTTCTTATACTTATTGAGTCTTATTGAGCAAGTCGATTCCTAAGCTGACATGACAGAGAGTTGGGCCTACATTTTCTTCTAGTAGATGCAGGGTTTCTGGTCTAATGCCTAGGTGTTTGATCCACTTTGAGTTGAGCTTTGTGCAGGGTGAGAGACAGGTATTCAATTTCATTCTACTACATGTTCATTTCCAGTCTTCTCAACACCATTTGTTTCTCCCATGTATGTTTATGGCACCTTTGTCTAGTATAACTGTATTTATGTGGGTTTGTCTCTGTGTCTTCTATCCCATTGGTCTTCATGTCTGTTTTGGTGCCAATACCATGCTGTTTCTCTTACTATAGCTCTGGAATATAATTTAAGTCCCGGTATTGTGATACCTCCTGCTTCACATTTCTCGCTAAGGATTGCCTTGGCTATTCTGGGCCTCTTATTTTTCCAAATGAATTTTATATGACTGCTTATTCTATTTCTATGAAGAACATCATTGGAATTTTAATAGGTATTACATTAAATCTGTATCACAGTTTGGGTAGTATGTTCATTTTGACAATATTAGTTCTGCATATCCAAGAACATGGGAGGTCTTTCCATCTTCTAAGGTCTTCTTCAGTTTCTTTTGTCTCCCTGTAGTTTTCACTGTAGAGGTCTTTCCCCTCTCCTGTTAGATGGATTCCCAAGTATTTTAAATTTTTGAGGCTATTTCCATCACCTTGCTTTTGTCTTCTTTCTCTACTTTTCTAATTCTTCATCCTTTCTCTCTCTCTCTCTCTTTCTGTGTGTGTGTGTGTGTGTGTGTGTGTGTGTGTGTTCTATGTTCTGTTTTTAAGACAGGCTCTCTGATGCCCAGGTTGGCCTCAAACTCCTGGCTCAGACGGTCCTCCTGGCTCAACCTCCTGAATGCTGGGGACCACTGAAGGTGTGCACCACTGTGCCTGGCTCATCCCTGGGTTTTTGTGAACTGGTTGGTGAAAGCCT